GAATACCAAATGTGTATTACCAAAGAATGACACTTAATCTGAAACAGGCATTCCATAGTGCATACATGGAAACCTACTTTCTATTCAGGTTCAGAAGTAATTCTATGTGGAATGAATACACAGAATTTTCCAGAATGCTGAAGTGAAATAAACTCTGTTGATGAGGAACCAATAGGCCAGCTGTGTATCTATTTGCAAGAGACAAAAATGTATTTATTTATTTATTATTTATTTAAAGTTTTTGTATGCCGTCCCCTTGCTATATAGCCTCGGGACGGCTCACAGAACATTTACAAATGTAAATGTATATTGGATATTTACTGATCATTCTTGTGGAAAACATGATTGTAAACTAACAACAGTTCAGTATAAAATTTATATTTGGCAGAATATAGCTGTATTTCTCTTAAAACTAACTGCAGTCCTGCACACAATTGGTCTGTCCCACTGACAAGCTGACCTGGGAAGAGGATTGCAGCTTGTTTTCCTAGCAGACATCAGTTACTTTGCCAATAGAGTTCCCTGGGAATAAAAATGCCAATAGAGTTCCCTGGAATTCAGGATAGAAAATCATGACAGAAAAAAGGAGATACACAGCACATAGTTAAAAATACAGTTCCATGGGGTGGAGTGAGGGCCTCCCATCTGAATGGCTTCAAAGGGAAGTGGACCATCATGGTCTCCAATTCCCTTTGGTGCTATCGCTGGCTACTCGTCCTGATGGGTATGTGCCACCTTCAGTGTCAGAGGCAGTATGCGAATGTACAGGAGTTGCCAGGGTACATGGGCAGGATGGCGCTATCGGACTCGTATGTTGCCTCTGAAGAGAAGGCTGAACTAGATTGTCCTTAATCTGAACCATCACAGCTATTCTTATGTTCAAACTGTGCTTTCAGGTAGCTGTTCTTCCCTTTGGGGACAGGATGGGGGTAAAAATCAGGCCATGAATGGGGATGATGAGGGTTAGTCCAACACATCCAAAGGACCTCAAGTTGGGGGTGGCATGCATCAGATCAGGTTGGAGCATGAAGGATCTGCTCTTCCGGTGTCCTTCTCCCTTCACTCCCCCCACTTTTTTTTGTCCTTTCAGACAAGACCAGAAAGTTTATAGAACAGCGGCAGCTGGTGAAACAGTTTCCTGCGGGAAGGTGATGAGATCTGTCTGAAGAACAACACTTCTTATCATCAAAGGCCTTGCTGTGTAAATTGTCTGTCCGTGTTTTGTATTAACTATTCAAACAGTTTGTTTCCATTGTAATGTTGGTTTTTATTGTCTGAAACTTGTCAAAGTAAGAATTTAAAGTCTGATGCTTCCTAAAATACTTTAAATGAGGCAGATAAATATGAAAGCAAATTTTTTGCTAGCTTGAAAACAGAGGCAAAGTAAAAGATCCTATGTATTTTCTGTCCAATATGATGCATGGCCAGTAAAAAAAGATTTCTGAAAACTTCTATGACCTTTGTTGGGAAAGTCCAAATAAATCCTCAGATAAAAAGACATGCTTTTGGTGTGTCTAATATAAAATTGGGTAACAGAGCCCTTTCTTCTCTCCACTCAAAGGGACTAGAACTTTTTGCCCAGCTCCATGCACCTGGGAAAAGCAGAGAGACCCTGGTGCTCCATTTTCATGCATTTTCTTGCAGAGTAAATCAGGTTCTATATGTTAAAATATGGAGGACCTCACCTGTCCTCTCCCTTTCCCCATCTGTAGGAGTTTTCCTTTCTAATTCTTTCTTCTCTGGGAAAAGAAAAACCAGCCCCAAGCATGCAAACAATCCTCCTGCTTTCAGGGAAGCTCCTAACCAAAACTGTGCTACAAGTCTCCGGGCAGCTGCGCTTCCTTTGCAATGTAAAAATATCTAGCCACTCATGCTTTGTTTTAAAACAGCTCAGCTTTGTCTTAAGGAATTTTGTATCTCTGATTGTAAAACACACATTTTAAACCTGTTAGATATCTGTAACTCCTGATTGTTTTATTTGTAATCTGTTACTCAAGGCTTCAATGGGTCATGATGTTTTTCCTGATGCCTACAATGATTTCTCAATGTTTCTGCATTATTCCCCATTGTCCTTGCCTTATCACCTATTCAGATGCTCATCACTGTCTTGAAACTATGTATGTGACCCACAACTTATATAAAAAACTCTGTCTATGTCCTGGAAGCTTGCAGTCAATTCATTATACTGACTGACAGCACTGTTGTTTTTTAGCCTGTCAGAGAGGGGTACCTGAGTGTTCTGCCAATAAACTGCTGAGACTGAACATAGCATCTTCCTGTGAATCCAGATGTACATTCCCCTGGTTCTGCTAATTGAGATTTCCAGACACCTTCTTGATAGGCCACTGACTATGTGCCTCTTAACAAGGTGGAAGAGCTTCCTAAGCTCCAATCTAAATGGCTACAGTAACACTATATGTTAACCAAAAGTGTGTTGAGTAGAATGAAAAGTATGCATATTCTTCACTGTGATTTGTTAAGCTGTTAACAGAAGATGGAGCTGTTGCATTGTGAGCTGCAAATAGTATATTTCTGAGGAGAGAACCTTACATGAGGGAAATTGATGACTGTGAGCAAGTGCCCCGGCTTTTCAAGCCCACAGTACTCCCAAATGTGTCCATTGGTATGTGCTTTAAGAAGCAGAAAACATGCAACCATCTTGGGCAAAGAAACACAGTGTCCCGAGGAGGACTTTAGAGTCTGGACTTCATGGTCCCACTGGGGGTGGGTGGAGGTTATCAGATGGCAATGTGTACTGTGCCACTGACTTCAAAATGTAAAATTCTACTGCCTTTGGAGGCCCTCTGCCCATTAAGAAAATACAGGCTGAATCAGAGCAACACCCCCCCAGAATTTGGTCCCACCACTGTCAAACAGACGTCCATGGGAAGCCTACACGCAGGCTGTGACTGCGATAACACCTTCTCACTCACATTGTCCAGCAACTGGTAGATGGAGCCACCATGACTGATAGCCATTGCAAGCCTTTTCCTCCGTGAATTTGTCTAATCCTCTTTGAAAGTCATCAGAGCTGGTGGCCATCTCTAGACCCTGTGCCAGCAGGGTCTGAAATAGTTGAGTAAAACATTTGTTTTAAGTGAAAGTCCGTCCTCCCACTCCAAATCGATTTTTCTCTGGACATCCAGAAGGTCAGTGGCCATGTGGGGAAAGAACAGTGCCAGAGGACATGAGCCTTGCTCAATGCTACTTGGACCCAGAAACTGCCTATCATGTCATTTATACAATCCATTTCTGTCCACTTTTCAATGGGGCATTTTGAAAGTGGCTTACAAAATGAAGCAAACAACAGCTAAAATCAAACCTACCCATGTCCCAAGTAAAAACAGCAGAGATAAGCAGAACGAAAAACAACCAGTAGAAATAAAAACACTTGTTTCTTGCAGTTACAGATAAACACAGATGAATAAAATGTCACCCTAAACTCCTACAAAAAAGTCATTCTGTCAAAAAACCCCAGCAACAGCCTGCCAAAGCCAGTTCCCAGTGCCAAGGCAGCCCAGGACTGGATCCAGATTTAAGCTTGATCACCTGCATTGTTGGAAATGGACTTCCCACTCCATTCGTCTCACAGTTTCAGTCCCCTGAAAACACTATTCAGAGAACCAGGAAGCCCTGTTGAATGGGGTGAGCTGGGGCATGCATGGGAATGGGGAGAAAATTCCCCAAAGTCACTCAGAGGGAACTTTCATGAAAGGATCCTTTTGTGGCAAGGAGGTCCTGGATCCAACCCCTGTATTTACTCACTGATCCAGTTCACATGTTCACAGTGGATGAAACAAGCCACTGTGCCTTGGGGCAGCTGCCATGTATTCCGGGTGGATTGACCCATTCTGGCATGGCTTGCTATGCCATCTGAACCCAGGCAACATGGCTTGTTCTGCGAGGGCAGCAACCCTCAAATAACCCAATAACAGCCCGTGGGTTATTTGAAGGTTGCTGTGCACACCAAATCAGGCAGGCTGCCTGTGTGTGGCTGACAAGGCAAGCCACAAGGAAGTCTGGCTAGCACACGTGGAAGCTGCAGTAAGCCATGGTGGCTTGTTTCAGCCACTGTGACCATACAAACTGGGCCACTATCATCACCCATCACTCACAGATAAGGCCACCAGGAAAGGGGCTCTCTTGGTGACCTGAATGGACTGGTGAGCTTGTATGGCATCCAACAGCCCTGACACACGATGTTTTCAGCCTAATTGGTTATTATAAGTTAAAATTAGAGATGTTGGGGAAGATTGCAACAAATGTCTGTCTGTCTGTCTATTTCACTTTTATACTGCCCAATAGTTGAGGCTCAATGAATCCAGTCCGTGGATTCCATAGTGGACTGGCTTTTTCTGAGTCACATGGATTCTGTGGAACTGAAAACAGGTCTTTCACTTTTTCAGGGAATCTGTACTAATTCACATTCTAGCTGATTTGCATTGACTAATGCACATTGGAACTATTGCGAATCAGTCAAGGAGAATGAAATTCTGGTAAAAAAGTATCTGATTCTGTCAAGGAGCAGATGATAGAACTAAAATCACCTGAAAATCCCCAAAGCACAGATGGAACTGATTTAACAAAATCTGTACATACCTAGGTAAAGCCAACATTTTGGGATTACAAGAAGCAAGTCAAGCTGTTATACAACTTGCAAGATCTCTTCAGAGACAGACAGGCACCCCATTGCCCTGCTGTTTTCGGTGATCATACGTCAGCGGGGGCACTCTCCTGCGACACTTGCTCTGAAGACTGGAGCTGGAGGAGAACTGTGTGTCCCCATTCTTCATGGGTGCTACACAACCCACTTAAAAAAACAAACAACCCCCACCCCCATATACTCTATGATTGACAATTTGCAGATTCATAGTACAGACCTCTTCTCAGAACAACACGTGTAAGAGGGTGTATCTTTTGTAACTATTTTTGGGGTATTGATGAAGAAACTGGAGATATTTGGGGTGGGGTACTGATTTTCCACTCATTTGCTCAACAAACGTGGGAAGGGGAAAATGTTCCATTTCAATGGGTAAATATTAGGCTTTCTGATTTTCCAAACCACTACAGCATTTGGTTGTTCATTAACTCATTCCAATAAATTGGTTCGCCTCTCTCTGTAGATTTTACACTTCCAAAATGGAAAGGCTGTTCTTTGTGGCGTGGCTGGTCTTTTCTTCACTGCAAGTATCAGCAGCTCCTGCTCTGACCAAGGTATTTGCCTTTGCCTTTGCTTTTGCCTTTTTGTCAAGCACATCTCATTTTTCTTTATAATATGGAGGAAATGTGCTTGCATTTGCAATATCCAGTCATTAGATAGAGCTGATTTTGATATGGGAATTTTCGGAACCAAACTACCTATAATGAAAAGTCTTCATTCTTGAAAGCTGAGCTGCAGAATTATGCTACTGAGCTGAAATTGCACTACTGCCATCAGTAGACTGATTCACCAGGACAATCAGATGACTAAGGAAGCTAATGAAGGCAACTTTGAGCTGAACATATGTTAACAGCCTGTAAAAAGAAAAAGATCTAATGTTTACTATAAGAGATCACACTTGTAGTTTTAGTGAGCAGGCCTCATATACATTCAGTAAATAAATAATCGTGTTTAGATTGTATATTTAAGTTTAGTTAAAACTGCTCTCACATCTTAAGTTTTGGTAGATAAGCAGATAAAATATGACTTTTATTATAGTCTGGGAAGAGGCATTGCTTGTTTGAATAGTAAAGGCTTTGCCATGTGAAAGATGCTAACTGTGTCCTGCAGTATCTCCAGAAGGGCAGGAAAGAATCCTGTCTGAGATTCTTGGATGCTGCTGTCAATCAGTGTCAAGAACAGTGAGTGTGATGATCCAGCGTGATAAACCAACAGAAGGCAGCTTCTGTGCCATGCAGACGTTATATGCAGCCAAATGTGAACTTGCCCACCCATGAGCGTGTCACAGCAAGCATGGAGAGGAAGGGCCCCTTTTCCAGAGAAGTGGTGTGCTCACGGCAGATTTCGCACTGTTCTTCAATGAGGTGGGGAACAGCTTTTTGAAGTGGGAAAAATTAGCTTGAGAACAATTATGGAGAGCAGAATGAACATTTAGAATGAAGAGTCTGAATCTGAAGCTTTACCTTAGGCTTTTTCTACATGAGTCATTTATTAGGAAGTTGTCATTCTGTACTCATGGTTGTTTATGGGTTATTTTGATAATGCTGAGATCCTCCATTTTCACATCCATGTCTGAACAGCATCCTTGGTGAGTTTTTTAAGAGCAGCGAAATTCTGGCATTTAATTATGAAAGCAAAAGGGAATGTGAATTCTTCTTGTGTGTTTGCACTACTCTGTGGTACCACAATGCCACCTAGAGGTTATGTAGCCAACAAGGAAATTCCCTTCATGTACAGCTTGGATCTCAATTCTGGGATCATACCAGGGGTAATGTGAGGAATCCATTTTGTGGGATGGAATCTGACAGATTCCTTCAGCTCAACTCTCCATACTCCGGCCTGCTTTCTCAAAGCTATGAGTCCAGCTTGGAGCCAAGCTTGCTGAGTATTCATGCGGGTGCCTGCCAGGAAGGGAGTCCACACAAACACCACACAAGCAGCTTCCTTCCCCACACATGACCTGTGGCCTTGGTTTGTGCTGCACATACATGTGGAATAAATAGAGTTGCTGGCTGCACAACTGGAGTCCTGTGGGCATCCACAGACTTCCTCTTAGGGGGTTCACTTCCTCAGCCAGGGCCAAGCATGAGAGAAGTCCGATGGGCAGAAGAGATCCAGATTCTGGGGAGGACTGTCACAATCCTAGATGAATCCAAAAGTAGATGCAGCAGATTGACAATCAATCAACAGCCTTGTCTAGAAAAGTCTTCAGCCTCTGACTACTCCAAAGAAAATGACAAACTTAAGGAAGAGAGACACGTAAGGGCACTGGGAAGAAGAAGTGAGGAAGAGGAATTATCACGGATATTCACAAACTAGCTAAGTTGGTGCTTGGGCTTGACTCCCCACAGCAACCTCCTCCATATAACGCCCGAGATTCCTCTCTAGAGCACCACCACTGGACTCAGAACCAGCAATTCGTATGGAAGATGCAGCTCCTACGAGGCAGCCAAGGGGAACCCAGGACAAGTCAGCATGGAAATCTTTGGGCGAGTAAGGCCCACAGGTAGTTCAAGTTGAATGGAGAGGATTCTGCCCCTGAAAAATGTGGACAAGGCAGCAGAACAGACTGGAGAACCTGCTAGGAAAGCATCACAAGTAGCAGAGTTGGAAGTCAAGGGGACCGCAGGCTGCTCTTGCTGCCGACAGTGAGCGTGACCATGCCAGGTGTTGCTGCGGCAGAACAGAGGAGCATCCTGAGCACCCAAACTTGAGGGCCAATACAGACTTTAAAACGGGCCAGTGGTTTTTGTGTTGGACTCAGAATGGAATAGAGAAAAGGATTCAAGAGCTTGACATGGGGGAGCAAAAGAGAACCTTGAGGGAATCTGTTGCTACTTGACTATGTTACAGGTAGCTGACTTAGCATTACAGAGCCATGCACATGGGAGAAAGGTGGAATTAAAAATCACATTTGCTTAGATTCTGTGAATTCTATTAATTAAACTGGCAATCATGCAATATTTTTATGTGCTATTTTACTAAGGCTGCTCTCCTAACCTGCACACACGGACCTCGCTGAACTTAATGATGGTCCTTTGGAACAGACATGAAGAAGATTGTGCTTTAATTGTGTCAACTCGTAAAACAGTCACCCTTGCTTTCCTAACCTTATTACAATTCCGCTTCATTGACATAAAAGTCAATTTAAACTACATCAAGTCTTTTAACACTGCTCCCTTCGTTAACATTTTTGCAAATCAACTTTTGACACTGACTACATTCGGATTTCAAATGGAAATCAACCTTCAGAGAAACATTTAAGGAAAACATGTGAACCACTCCCGTATCTGATACTTTTGGAGAGTCAGAGTCATCCTGAAACACTTATACAAAGTGACCCTTAGCAGGAACTTTCAGAGCATCAATTTTTTTTATATGTCTAAATGATCCATAACTGGTTGTTTGGTCCAAGAAAGTGTGTTCTTGGACCTTCGTGGTGTGTTAACTCAACCAAATGCTGCATGTAGTCAACATGAAAGATGCAGAAAGTTTTTTCAACCAAAGAAATTTTTACAAGTTCCTATTCATGTTCCAGTCCAAAACTAGCCTTTTCATTGTTCATTTTTCTAAAGTTCTGAGAATAATAATGTGCTTTTTCTGTTAGCTTGAGTTGCCCTATCTGTAAAAAGACAGTTGCTATTAATTGTTACTGCACTGCAATGACATATTTTGGTATGGTATTTCATTTGCTCCACATTTTTAAGTGAACTGACCAATTCACACTTCACATATCCATATGTGGATCAAAACACAGTTATCCTACAGGCTGTACATTTCTCTGAACTTTACAATGTGATTCTCAACTCAGAGGTCATAAAACAGGGAAAGCCTTGTGCTAAGATGTGCGTAATAATAAGTGCAAAATTGCTCCTATAAAAAATACACGTGGATAAGAATGGATGTCTGATAAAATATATGCAAAGATGGCATAGATCTGAAAAAGACTGGTTCACCCTTCTCTTGGTATGGCAGACCTTGTACTGAATTCCTAAAACCCTTTTCTCCTTCTCTTTCCCAGGGTGACACTGAAATCCTCAGCCTGCATGTGGACTCCAAAGTTACATCACGGTTTGCCCGAACAGTCATCACCAGCAGTGTTGTCAACAGAGCCGATGCATCCAGCCAGGTCTTTTTTGAAATACAAACACCCAAGACAGCCTTCATCACAAAATTCAGCATGTAAGCTCATCTTGTGGGATGTTTTTGAGTCTGGTCTGCACAATCAGAGCAAGATGATGCCCTTTGAATGACCCACTGAGATAAATTTATGGCCTTATGACTTTGCAGAAGTTGTCCCTTAGGTGGTCGCATTGCTGAGTTAAGAAGATAAAGTTGTCTATTGTAATAAAACCTAAAATATTGTTCTGCAGAATTTTACTTAAGAGTAGAATGCTCATTGACACTTGAGCTCCTTAAATAGTGGGTATGTCTTCTGACCAGATGGAGGGTGTCCTCTGTTCTGGGCAGGAACACATTCTCCTTAACAGAGCAGGGTCATGACTTCAGGTTCCTGTTGAGCCATCTGTGCCACGAGAGACTCCGCTGGTCTCCGTGGACTGGACTGCCTTCTACTTGCTTCCACTCATGGCCCAGCTACACCCTTTTCTGGACAGCAATAGTGCAATTTCAGTCATCTGTGTCCTGGTCACCTTCAGGTTAGATTACTGCAACATGCTATATGTGAGGCTCTCCTTGAAAACTTTTCTCAAGGTGCAGCTTGTACAAAATAACTGGGACCATATGCTCTGAACATGTAGCACCAACTCTGGCCCACTTCCATTGGCTGTCTGGACGCTTTTGAGACTCATTTAAGGTGCTGGTTGAAACCTCTAAAGCCTTACTTGGCTTAAGACTTCCATACCTGTCAAAACATCTCTCCCAGTGAAATCTACCTGGACACGATGGATGTCGTCTGAGGCCTTCCTCTGAGAACCACCTCTGAGGGATGTTCACTGGGTGGAAACAAGGAAGAGGCCTTTGTAGCAACATGCCTGCAGGACATACCAGGCTGGCCGCAGGCTAGTCACATCTCCAAAAGAATCGGAGCTGAGTCACAAAGGGGGGATTGCAAAATCCCTTGCTGCTCCAGACCCAAGCCTCCCGGGCAGCCCAGCTTCTCAGGAAAGACTGGGAACCACCAGAATGCAAATGTACCGATCAGCATCCACAGCAGGCATTTCAATTCAATGAAATGCAACCTGGTCACTGAGGGTTATAAAGGGAACTGTATCATGCATTCTAGTTGATTGTCCCTTTTGGTGTGATCGAACTACGTATTCTCGAGAATAACCCTTATTCTTGTTGTGTTGGATTGGGTGGAGTGTGCCAGGATCGGACCCTTTGTGTCCTTCATGACTGTGCAACAAACTCCTCACTGAGGACTGCTTGGCATCAGCTTTGCAAACTTTCCATTTCCAGAGTCTTTTCCATGCCTTAACGCTTTTAATAGCATTGCGGGGTAGAATATATGAGACATTCCAATTTACTGAATGTCTTGAACCTGTTTAATTCTTTAAATGGTTGTTACATCTATGGAATGTGCTCCCCAGAGAGGTCCGCCTGGCGCCATCGTTATTTGTTTTTCGGCGCCAGGTGAAGACCTTTTTATTTAAACGTCATTTTAATTGTTAACAATATTTACTTATTTATCTGGCCAGGGCGACTTCTTTTCTTTTATAACTTCTTTTATATCTTTTATATTTTTTATTTATTTTATATTGTTAATTTTAATTTTATATTGTTATTTTTGTATTGTATTGTATTTTATTGTGTTGTAAGCCGCCCCGAGGCTTCGGCAAGGGGCGGCATAGAAATGTTGTTATAATAATAATAATAATAATAATAATAATAATAATAATGTTTATGCTATTTTTATTGTATCTCCACTGTGTTTTTATCAGATTGTTGTTCACTTCCTCATGAGCTTTGGCTGTTGGGTGGTGCATAAATGAAGGAAATAAACAAACACCTTTTCTCCACAGCATAGTTAGGATCTGCTGTCATCCCGGGGAGCACATCGGGCTTTGTTCGCTTCCTGTTTGTGCAAATGATCATAGGGCTCAACCGCAGTTTTCCCTGCCTCTCAGGCCCTGTGTTTGCTCCCCCCCCTAACACATTTGAAATGTTGATTTTTAAGGACCATAGATGCAGAAACATATCCTGGAATAATCAAAGAGAAGCAAGCTGCACAAGACCAGTATGATGCTGCCATTTCACAAGGACAAAGCGCTGGACTGGTCAAGTAAGCAACACACTTTCGTGGACTAATTTTCTCCCTAGGTAGGGCCACACAGAAACTCAGTGGACAGAAGTGGGAAGCTGCTACACCTGGCCACATGATGAGGCCATCCATCTCCAAGCATCTTTGACATCATTGTCCAAAGCTCACATGTGCCAAGAAAAAGCAAAAAAGACCTACCATACAAGACTGCCAAGGAGAGTCATCAGATTCTATGATCTGAGTAAAATTTTCACCCCAGTGGTCAGGTCTATCTTGATTATTAAACCAAAAATATTCATTAAGTGTCCCCAGCACAAAATGGGTCAGAGCCAAAGATCCATTGCACGAGTGCTTTTTGGCCCACACAATTTTTGGATCTAATTCAGCATTCTGTGACTAAATCCTAATCCATTCCTTCTTCAGTTTGGGGGTCTCCAGGATGCTACAGATGTGACTCTCCTGGGAGGAATGAAAGCTGCACAGGGAGGCCTCATGTATTGTATGGATTTATCTATCCTGGCAACAGTAATTCCAGAAGGACACACTGCAGCTGCCAACATCCTTTCTCAGATATAACAATTAAAAGTACAGAAGTCAAGACCTGAGCATCTGTACTCCAGTTTCAACATAAGAAACTTATTGTAATTGGCCAGCAGTGTTGATATCCATGTTGACTGATCAGTTCTATCCTCATACAGTCCATTGTCCATTTTGCTTTTTGCCTATGACTGACTGGATCGTGTCCTTTTACCTAGAGTTAAAAAATAGTTGACCATGCCCTTGAAAGGACCCTTTCCCCCAGTCTGGTTCACTTATTTCAAGGTTGTCTTTTTTTGGTATTCGCTGTTTGAAGGACATTCCATTTCAAATCAGGGAAACTGTGGTTACCTTGGCTCACAAACTTAATCTATTCCAGGACTCTGGTAGTGACCCAAACTGGTTGTGAGCCAAGTCAAATTTCCCCATAAGGGTCAATGCAAATAAAGTTAATCTGTTCTGTAACTTTTTTTTTTAATTCACAAAAATTTGAAGCAAAGTGACAAAGAGCAACGAAGATCACGGCCATCTCCCCACCCACCCCGAGCGACCGTGTGGGGGAGTGGGGGGAGATGGGTGCGATCGGGGCATGCTGGGGGGGAAGACGGGTGCGATCACATGCATGCTCAGGCAGGGAACACAGGCAGGGAACACAGGTGCAATCGCAGCCATCTCCCCCCGCCCCACCCCAGCATGACTGCAGCCATCTCTCCCCCCTGCCCCCCAGCACAACCACAATTGCGCCCATGCAGGAAAGGTGGGCACACTTGCGATCGTCACCCGATGCGGAGTTTGCGACCTCTGGCAAAATTTTTATGAAATTTCTGTTCGCGATCCGATTTGGTTGTGAACTGAGGCGTTCGTGAGCCGAGGTACCACTGTATAAATCTGCAAAGAGAGATGCTGCTTTAGGTACATAATCTTCTTGAGATGTAGCTTACAGAATTAGAAAGCTGCACCAACACCATGAATGCCTTAGTGCAATATTTTGCAATGGGCTATGCTAGCACTTTGTGGAAAATATGGAGTTCATATATAAACTAATATGAAGATCAGATACTAGCTCAAATGACTTTTTTTTTAAATTTTCAGATCAAGTGGAAGAAACTCAGAGCAGTTTCAGGTTTCAGTTAATGTTGCAGCCGGTGGTAATGTGAGTTTTATGCTGGTCTATGAGGAGCTGCTAATACGGAAGCTGGGAAAGTATGAACTGATGTTTAAGGTGAAGCCCAAGCAGCTGGTTAATCAATTTCAGGTAAATGCTCGGAAGAGGATTTGGTCCGAAGTATCATGGCTTGCTGATATTACATTGCAGCCAGACTAGATGATGACCCTGTGCCATTTCCTTGAATTTTCTTCAGATTGATGTCGATATCTTTGAACCCCAAGGCATAAGTTTCATTAAAACTGAAAGCACTTTCATCACCAATGAACTGAGGAATGCCCTCGAAGAAAAGGTGGAGGAGACCAAGGTACACGAGATGGAACAAAACCTTTCCTATGCTTGAATGGACAATCATGCATTGTTCTCCTATGACAGTCTGACTGTTTCTGTTTCCATGTTTAATTTCCAGGCTCACATTTCATTTAAACCAACCATCACACAACAAAGGAGAAGTCCTGAACGGGAAGAAACTCTGCTCGATGGAGATTTTATCATACATTATGATGTTAAAAGGAGTGCTGCCGGAGATATACAGGTAAAAGCAGGCAATCCGCAAGGCACCATTTAACTAAATGCAAGACCAGCTTCAGAAAATAACCCTTTAGAACTGGTTTGGTCTCAGCCTCAGTCTGTCATCCTCAACCCTTTCATGAGCTCAGCATGCTGAAAGGTAAGATTATCCACTGGAAAGATGGCTTTTTAGTTCTTTGGAAAAGCCCCCGGTGTGTATTGCAACCTGTCAACCATGTTGATTTTTGGAAAGTCTAGACCAGGGGTCTCAAACTCAACTTCCCTGGGGGCCGCTGGAAGTAGAGTCTAGGTGAGGCCGGGCTGCATCAAGTGGTGGTGGGGGGCCGCTCATCCTGCGTCGCTCCCGGAGGCTCTGAAGGCCGCAGGGTCCCTCCCCCGTGCCCCACCCGGCCCGGCAATTGGCCCGCAGGCCGCGAGTTTGAGACCCCTGGTCTAGACCATTTCCCTAGTTCTTCAGTAAGGGAGATGATGGAAACCTTCCTTACAGAGATTGCTTAGAAGTTTTCTAGATGATGCTGTTAATCAGCTGTTAATTCATCTATTTCAGTTTTGTCACAGAATGGAGATCCATGCACTGCATGGGAAGCATTTCCTTTCCTGCTTTTCTCCCATACAACCTGCAGGGGGCACTGCATTGTAGAGAAACAGCACACCAACACTTGAGGGACCTGTACTTTCTTCTCATAGAAAGTGCTAGTTAGTCACAATAGTGAAATTGGGTTGGAAGGGAGAGCAACATCATCAAAAGAACCCATAAATAACTCTGAGTAGGACATGATGTTGTTATGGCTAGTTGCGAAGTTGCATCCGACCCATCGCAACCCCACGGACAACATTCCTCCAGGCCTTCCTGTCCTCCACCATCCCCCGGAGTCCACTTAAGCTCACACCAACTGCCTCAGTGACTCCATCCAGCCACCTCATCCTCTGCCGTCCCCTTCTTCTTTTGCCATCTATTGTTCCCAGCATCAGGCTCTTCTCCAGGGAGTCCCTCCTTCTCATTAGGTGGCCAAAGTATTTGAGTTTCATCTTCAGTATCTGCCTTCTAAAGAGCAGTCAGGGTTGATCTCCTATAGGACTGACCGGTTTGATCGCCCTGCAGTCCAAGGGACTTGCAGGAGTCTTCTGCAGCACCACAATTCCAAAGCCTCAATTCTTTGGCTCTCAGCCTTCCTTATGGTCCACCTTTCACAGCCATACATTGCAACTGGGAAAACCATACGCACTTTTGTTGGCAGGGTGATGTCTCTGCTTTTTAGTATGCTGTCTAGATTTGCCATAGCTTTCCTCCCCAGGAGCAATCGTCTTTTAATTTCTTGGCTGCAGTCCCCATCTGTGGTATCTTGGAGCCCAGGAAAATAGAATCTGTCACTACCTCCATTTCTTCCCCATCTATTTGCCAGGAAGTGAGAGGACCGGATGCCATGATCTTAGTTTTCTTGATGATGAGCACATGGTAAATGTAGAAAAGCTCGCAGTTACTTGCTTGTCTTTTACCCATTTTTAATGAGAACTGAGGAAATCCCTAAAATACTGAAAACTGCAAAGGAAAACAGTCAGTGTGCTATTGGATTGGAATTTGAGAGATCCAAGTTCTAGTCCCCACTTGGCCATGAAGCTCACTGGGTGACTCTCAGACTAACCCACCTTGCAGGGTTGTTGTGAGGATGAACTGGAGAGGATTATGTTAGTTGCCTTGGGTTCTTTACAGGAAAAAAAGAATATAACTATAATAAACAAACAATAAATAATCTCCATTAGAAAAGCAAATAGTAACTATTTCACCTTATTTGCTTTATTCAAGTAAATCATAATTTTCTCTAGAGGTATAAATTAATTACAGTTGCCTCTCCAGTAAAGCATGAATCCTTAGTTAAAATACTGATTTAATTGTCTTGACTTCAACAAAGTTGCTCAGACCTGTGCTGTTGGATTGGCCCTTGAAAATAAAAAACTGTTTCATACAAATTCAGTTTACTATAACACTTTATGTGCCCTCGCTGTGTTCAGTTCCACTATTTTATGGAACCATCTCCCCAAAGAGGTGCACCTGGTGCTGTCTCTGTATTCTTTCCAGTGCCAGGAAAAGCCCTTTTTATTTTCCCAATATTTTAATAGTTAAATTTTATACTGTGTATTAAGTTTTATATGATATCTTATGGATTGCTTGTTCCCCTTTAATTTGAGTTGTTGTGGTTGTGTTCTTTATGGACTATGTATGGGGTCTATGGACTCCCTGGAGAAGACCCTGATGCTGGGAACGATTCACAGCAAAAGGGGAAGGGGACGGCAGAGGATGAGGTGGCCAGATGGAGTCACTGGGGCAGTGGGTGTGGAGTTGGGTGGACTCTGGGGGATGGTGGAGGACAGGAGAGCCTGGAGGAATGTTGTCCATGGGGTCGTAGTGGGTCAGGCACAACTTTGCGACTAACAACATGAGGTCTTGGAGGCTTTTATTGATGGGGCTATATTTTTATATTTAAATAATGTGTTTATATGTAAATTTTAATTTTATTGTTAATTGTTTCAGAGAGCCATTTGTCTGATGAACAGTATAACAATTCTAAATAAATAAGATTTTATACCCTGTTGTACTGAAATATGTACATGCAATTCTTTAATATTGCTTTTTGTGTCTGTTTCAGATTGTTAATGGATATTTCGTACATTATTTTGTTCCCAGTAACATGCCACCAATTCCCAAAAATGTTATCTTTGTGATCGATAAAAGTGGATCTATGAGTGGCAAGAAAATGCAGCAGGTAATTTGTCTCAAAATGGTCCCTGTAGTTTTCTCATGGTTTTGTGCTGTGCTAGGCACATGCCCAGTTCTAATGGCAGCCACGGTGTAGCCTCTCCTCTTAAGGTATGGCTGTGGCCTGCTGTGTCTTCTAATGCCCTTGGTATCCTTCATCTAGTCCCAGGCTCAACTATCTGAGAAACTTGAGTATTGCGGGGAGGCGGGGGGGGGGGGTCCTCCTGGATTCTGCTTCCACCACAGATGCCCACCTTTCTATTTCTCCAATCCACTTTCTCATTGGCTTAGTACAAGCCACAGTTTTTGAGTGACCCAAAAGCAGTACTGCAGAACGGTTACAATCTGGGAAACATTCTTTGTTCTCTTTCTAGCACAACTGTCTTTTGCAGCATTTCAAGTCATATTCCAGGAAAAGCTAAATAACTTCCTTAAAAAAAAAGTTTGGGCCTCTGTGTGCACAAAGACTGGAGATGCAATCGTGGAATCACCTTTCAAAGGGACAAAAACCTTCAGGAGGCAAAAGGGCAAGAACTGTCAAAGCAGTGTATGGCACAAGTGACACACGCATCTGATGTAGATGACACAGCCACCCCCCACGGGAACCCAATCACGTCACCTGAGTCTGGCAGAGTTTCTGCAGGATGGCTTAATTTTCTCAAACAAACCAGTTGGAGAAGCCATGGCCTGTTTTAGGGTTGTCCTTTCCACCGTGGGTTGTTGTGGCCTTCAGTTCTCATGGAGCAGTTTTATCATGGGTTGCAGGCTGCTCCAACGGTAGTGGGTTATTTCAGTGTCAATTGATGCTTCACGTGGGTTGCTGGCAACAGAAAAGCTCACGCTTTTCATGACCTCACCAGTAAGTGCCCTTCTCCCAGTGCTGAAATGGCACTTTGGAAGTAATGGCACTCAATCCCTGATGATAACTCAATAATTTGGGTTGTTATTATTGTTGTTGTTTTTATGGCCTTTTTCAAGAGCACACTTACAACTATCTGATACCAGTACTTCCAAGGCAAGGTTACCAATTGGCCATGGGGCACCAAATTGTGAAGGACTGCAGGAAAAATTACAGCAAAAGAAAGGACCGTGCAAATGAGACACACCAAAAATGGAGGCAACCAAAGGAGCAAGGCAGGGAGCTCCTCCTCAGTAAGGCGGACCTCTTTGTTTTAAGTGTTCAACCAACACATCTTCATTTCCTCTGACTTTTCTACATTTTCCTGACCACCTGCTGCTCCAGAAAAGTGAAGTTTTAAGTCCTCCCAGCTTTTGAGCTACCTTTTGGAGCACTCACTGCTACCATTACTGTGGTCTCCTGGTAGTTCTAAAAAGAATGCAGACATATATTTCATTCCGTGAAAGAAATTAGGAGGGTGGGTACTCGGAGGAGGGCTTTCTCTGCGGTGGCGCCTAAGTTATGGAACGCGCTCCCCAGAGAAGTCCGCCTGGCGCCGTCGTTCTTTGTTTTTCGGCGCCAGGCGAAGACCTTTTAATTCAAGCGGCATTTTAACTGTTAATATTATTGGATTTTATCTGGCCAGGGCGGCTTATTTTATACTGTATTTTTGTATTTTTAATTTAATATTTATATTTTTGATTTATATTATAATTATTTTAACTTAGTGTTGTAAGCCGCC